CAATGACTTTTATTCATATTTTTTCTGAGAGATTATAACCCAGAATAACAGGATAAATGTTGGTGACGTGGTTTGAACCAAATAAGAAAAAAATTGAAACAAGTGTTGATACGCTTGGGAATGAGTACAGATCCTGGTTCATTCACCAGCAATTTGTATTGTTTTTGTAGCTAGATGTACAATGAAAATTATCACTGTTAGTAAGAAAACATTACACCTAAAAAGTGCCAGGCTGTGTGAACTTTCGAGGGGGGAGGGTCATCCATGAAGCCTGTTGTTGAAATATTGGCATTGAGGGCATGTATAAGTATATTTTTTACTTTTTAGGATGATAATGAAATGGCAGTAGTAACAAGATTGAACACTATGCATAACAGAGAGTACAGAGTTCACTTGAGTCAAATTGGAAATGTATGCCCACCAGTTGTGATACGCCATATACAACATGGTAAGTTATATGCTCTACAATTCTTTATATTCAATTTCCTAATGCTAAAGTTTGAAAAAAAAAACATTCAGAAAAACTCAAGACTACATTGTGACAGATAAAATACTAGTAACTTCTCTACCACTATTTTCACCTTTATAATTTTTTTAGATAATTTGGTGCATTTTATAATATTATTAATAATTTTGCCCCAATTTGTTTTGTCAGGATATTTTGTACATGTACTTTGTTCATTTTGATAAAAAGAAAAAGTCAGAAAGCTGATATCTATATTCAAAATTCTTGTAGAGTTGTTGATAAAATTGAACATTTCATTTGACATTTCTTATTAAAGGCATAAAAATGTAATGGTATACGAAATGCTACAATCCTTTTATGTGTGGCCATAATTAGTGAAATGCTTTTTACAAGAAAAACGTTGCCCAGAGACAGATTTTTAAAATAACCTGTCACATAGTATACTATAGACTTTACATTGTATTAAGTGTTATAGTAACTGCTCTTATCTTTTTACTCTTTGATAAATCACCATCATAAATTATACTAACTTTTCATTTTGCTAGCCTTATAAAAATGTTTTTTTTTTTATCACATTTCTTAACATCCTGCTATCTCCTCGTGTTTATCGTTTATTACAGAATCAAAAACTGAGATTGATTGCCACATTCATGGCAGGTCAACACCATTTAACGATTTGTCATTATAGAGCATGTCATTGGAATCACTGTATATCATGGATATTACAATATAATCTCTTAGAGATATATAAATTTTTCAAATTCAAATTATTTGAATGACCAACCAAATTGACAGAGATTAATGTTACTATTAAAAACAACTCATCTTCCATTTTATAATAGGTGTTTAGTGGCGTTAAATTATCATTAATCTTCTTCAGTACCGGGGGTATATTATTAAAATGTAAATTGAGTTGGAGTTACTCCATATTAAGTACAATTTTGTTATGTGTGCCTTTGTTTTCATGTTAACAAAATTAGAGTACTATAACTCACTTAAAGCTCAGGGAATAAACCATGACATGCCAATCATTATTGCATAATGACAGGGATAGGACGAGGATGTATTCAGATAATGGGCAAAACGTGATGATGGTATTATGAATATCCCCATCTGAGCCTTGTTATCACGCAATGTCGTTTGTTTTTCATATATAATACCCTGAAATGTTGAAATGTTCGTAAACTGTCGTCAAGAATTATCTATAATCGTCTGATGATCGGGCTGCATATGATATAGATTGACCAATGAGAATGCGCTGTTCAATTAATAAGCATAGATTTAACTGTGTATCAAGAATCTTACATATCGGATAGTTTGTAGAATCATATTTTTGATAATGCAGATACTAACTGTTTTGTTAGTGTGATATGCTGTCAGTGTGATATGCTGTCTATGTTACTGTATTTGCGTGCATATATCAAAATGTTGGATTTTAAGTATACAGCATCATTAAATATGACTAATTTTTACCATAGACACGGCCATCATTTATGTGAGCACATGTACTACTAATAGAACAAATATGGTATTTAAATTTAATGATTCATATACACAGTATCATTTTGTTTTCAAAAATACAAGTACTTAACTTTAAAATGAATACTGTAAAACATTTTGAAATAGCTTCATGCTATTTTAGTGAATTTCACTCAATGCATAAATTAACTGAATCTTAATTTAGCTAAAATGCCAATAATCTCATTGTGAGAATAAACTATTTGAATTAGCGAAATTGCAGATTTGCTAAATTAGCTAAAATAACGTGCTAGCTGATGTTTTTTACAGTATATCACAAAGGCTGTTTAGTGATTGGCACATTTTAGTACTGTAATGCATGTATTTCCCATCAGAATGTCCAAAATTTGTAGCACAGTATTTATAGCCATTACTGGGACATGCTTTCAGATATTAGTATTGTAGAAATCTCCCACCAATCTAACTATGAGACATAAACTCATTCTGACGCTTCAGTTCAAAATGTAGTACAGTAAATTTATGATATTTTAATAATTCAAAAGAATCACTCAATTATCTGATAAAATTACAATGCACGTCATTCTGTTTTTTAAAATCCCTATAATTAGACAACACATGGGAAATCATTTTGTTAAGTTAATGGGAGTGATAGACATGTACAAGCTATTCATCCGGCTAGCGTTTAAACAAATAATAATCTATAAGAAAATGTGGATGACATGCCTTCCAATTTGAACATTATTCGTAAAATATGATGAAATATTAGAAACAAAGATAAAAGGAAAGTTGTCATAGTTTATATCAATCCAGACTTGGTCCTTAACCTCGGTCATTGAATAAGTGAAAGAAATGTCTTTAATTTTTAATTTTGGCATGATCCATTTGTGTTTCAGGTGATTGCTTCTAAACATTGAACGTTTTCTCTTGATTTTCTCATGTGCAATTTACAAGGGTATTTATAATGATATCGCCACAAGTACTATTTTTGAGGTTCTATATTCATGACAGGAATTATATCTTATTAGTATACTAGTTAGGGACGACGTCAAAAGATCGATGTCGGATAAAAAACTTGTTTCCTTTAGTTTGGGGGTGGGGGGTTTTGACCTCAAAAAGTTTCCATCCTACAAAAACGGTTTTATTTTTTAATGAAGTCAAAAAATCTTGGCATATT